TAAAAGGCGAGGGAAAAGGGGTTCGGACTAAAGAGAAACGGGGCGTCTATAACGGAAAGGTAGGGTAAATATTCCAAGCTCGGTCACTGTCCGCAGACCCCGAGCGTGTCATTTTATTACCTAAACAGCTGGTCTGTCGACTAGCAGGACACCGTCGTAATACATTCATTCATTTGTCCATTCGTATAGGAAACTCTGATTGCAAGGTGTCGATCTCTTCACTTGGCGCGTCCACTACTGTGAAGTTGCTCGTACCTGACTAACCCGTTAGTTCAGTTTCTGGAACCATGGAAACACCAACTAAGCGGGCGAGCAATTCAGGTACCTGTAGGGGTTTCCCTTGCTCCACACCGAAATATGAAAGCTATTTGCAGCAGCTAGACTCATTATCGTGAAAGGTCTTTCTCTCTGACTTCGTAGGACATACATTTTTGTCCTTCTTTGTTTATACACGGACAGGGTAGCATCAGATAAACTTTTTGAGGGGCTTTTAGGGACTCTGTTTTTGAGGCAATTTGTCTCCGAACGAGTCCAGTGGGGAAGTTTCGACTACTTTTGAACGAAATTTGTTGCGGCGGGTCGTAGGATCACGAGCCAAGGCTGTCCAAAAAGGGGTCTTACGAGGAGTAACCTGACAAGACCAAGTATCTCATGAAAAAAAGTTTGTATCATTATGAACAATCAATGTGCCCCCATCCAACGCCCGAGGGTGGGTATCAATATCAAGGCTCTAGATCCATGAAAGCAAGACGTTACCATAGCCAAGCCAAGCCACTAGGGCCCAAATTCGAAAGAGCCGGAATGACAATCGTACAAATAAGGCCAGGAGATGTGTGAATGAGAGCCCTCTCCCACTCACCAAAAGAAGAAGAAAAAGACAGCAGCTACCATAAACCGCTCTTGGGAGGACTGTAAGATATTATCCCAATGGGCAAGCCCAACGGCGGCATCACAGCCCCCAAATGGTACAGGCCACCAAGGCGACCATTGACCAATATCCACTGATCTGAATCCCCGTCCGAGCAGCGCCAGAACGTGTAGATGCGTCCGCAACAGTCGTCCCATTAGGCAACGTACCATTGATATAAATGGTCTCAGTGCCATTGACTTTGACAATTTTAGCGACACTGGAATTTGTAGGTTGGGTGCCGTTGAAAATAGATTCGTAATACGATCTATCCGAATTGTCATCGCATGCACATTCTGCGTATTTTTCGCACAGGCAGACTACCGGCATCGATGCGTTATGGTGTGTGATCTGGTCCACATATTGATAATGGTAGTTATATGGATAGGCGTAAGCTCCGTACAGCCAGATACCGCCGAAGAATGCCAAAGCAGCTGCTGGGAGTATCACAGGCGCTACTCCTAGTGGCGATAGAGCACCGGAGGTATAGGGAGTGCGAGCACCACCCGCGTAGTAAGTACCTCTACCATAGGTGGGCTGTGGCCCTGACCCACTGCGAGAAGAGCCGCCGGAGTTGCTAGATGAGCTGCATAGAAAAATGACGGGTTAGTTATTAAAGCTCGTGTCGCTTTAGGAATTTGGGACACTTACCCTGTTCTTGATGTAGAACCGCCACTACCTCCTCGCCCACCACTTCCACCACCACTGCTTCCCCCTCGTCCTCCTCCACCACCACGCCGTTTTTCTAAATATACGGGTTCATGAGATCTAGGCACAAGAACCACGCCTTCGGCTAGATCTGACTGTGGGATACTGAGGGCAGCAGTCGGGAGAAGGAGAATGACACTTATGAAGGCAACCTTCATTTTCCTCCTTCTTTTTGATGCCGGAAAACCGATGATCTTCTTGAGTTGGGAGATTGTTGCTAGGCTTTATCAACGTAGGCTACTATAGCGGGCTTTTGGATATAGAGCGGGAAGAGATGCTTGAAAGATTGAATCGCATGACCTGCTAGCGAACAAGGATAAAGGGGTAGTTAGGACAGGATAGTAATTTTATATTTTTGCGAACCAACCTTTATTGTGAAAAATATCATGATTGCGTAGTATGGAGGAGAGGTCGTTTAAGGGACATGACTTCACCCTGAAAGTTAATGTCCATAAAATTACGGGTAGTTAAAGGAGAGCTCCATCGATCATTGGACCAAAAAAAAACCAAGCCACACTCGTATCGTCGGATTTACACTGCCTTTCCCCACGCAGGGTTTCTCCTACTACGAGTATGTAGCACCAAGGCGGTGCAGGTTAGAGCCGCATTGTCTCACTCCAGAAGGGGTGTACCGGAGTCCACACCTGTTCTTTCCTTTAATGCCAATCTACGGCTTCCAGGCCGATCCTGGATCCGCCACAGCCCATTGCCAAATCAAGTGGTTCTGCGAGATGATGGATTAGACTGTTTACTACAGCTTCATAGCCACTATTCAATGGCCATGAGTGCAGTGATATACATATATAGTTTACCTCAGCAAGCTCAGGCGGTTCGCTTCATGAAGCCGCTAATTTTATAATCGCATATTATGATGTTTGGCATATATGTTGGCCAATAATATGATACCAAACCCAGACAAACTAGTGCGCTTTCGGAATTTGCATAATTATGAGCTAGGTCTAATGCGGACTTTTACTCAACCAGAGTGTCTGCTGAGATAAATATACAGTACGAAAATCGTATGTCTAGCTTGACCACTATAAACACACAGCCCGTTCTTACAGCGCTACCCCCTTGATGCTGATTGCCCACTCCGTTCAGCGTGGAAATATTCCCATCCCCACAGTTGCGAGAGGAAGGGCATGTCACGAGGTACATGCATACACCAGAATTTACTTTTGCCCTGCCTTTACAAGCGGCCTATAAATGGGCTCCCACATCTGCATCCGGATCCACTCCTCCAAATCTTTCTCATGGTTGGGAATTCCCTTCTCTTGGGCATATCCTTCCTCGATTGCTGTCTCGATGACTGCCCGAGCAATATGCACGCTAATCTCGCGTACATGCTCAACATCGGGAAGGAGAGGCCGGTTTGGATCCTGTAAAGCCGGAGACTGAGAAGCTAACGCTCTGGCGGCTGCCACCAACATTTTGTCAGAGAGGATCCTCGTCCGAGATAGAACCGCCCCAAGGCCGATGCCAGGAAAGCAGGTTGAATTGTTGCACTCCGCTATTTAGAGTGATGCTTGTGTTAGCAGAGACTGAGAATAATAGCCTTGTATTGCCATGAAATATGGCTGCATATCACTCACCAACTTCGTATTCTACTCCGTTACGCTCAATAGGAGGGAATGGACTCCCAGTGGCCATCAAAGCTCGACCTTCCGTCCAATAGTTGATGTCCCCGGGTGAAGCTTCGTGTAATCGTGTAGGGTTGCTTAAGGGAAATATGATAGGATGTTCAACGTGCTTTGCCATCTCCCGAATAATGTCTTCTGTGAAGGCCTTTGGCTTCGTTGACGTGCCGATCAGGACATGCGGCTTTACCTCCTTTACAATTGAAAGTAAATCTGTGCCCTTCTCCTTGGGCCACTCGTTGTCATCCCGCGCAAATGGTGCTTGGGCTACGGTAAGTTGGTCACCAAGAGACTTGAGCAAAATACCTGGCTTATCTAGACACCTTTCCATTGAAGTTAGCTACCATGCCACCATCCAACCATCAGTATGACCTCTTACAAAAGACTCACCATATCTGTGCTGAAGCTTCTTGCTTTGTTCTGCCAGTGTCCGTAGCAATGGTATCGGCGACTTGCTTCGCAATTCCAGTACCAGCTGAGCCCGAGCCAAAGATAATTACACGCACATCTGCTAACTCGATGTTACCGACACGAAAAGCCGCCATTAAAGCCGCCAGAGTCACGCATCCTGTTCCTTGAATATCATCATTGAAACAGGGAATATGTGTTCGATACTGATTTAGAAGTCTGCTGGCATTATGGAGGCCAAAGTCTTCGCTGGATGGGTGTCAGTTTATTTCCAGGGGCTCTAGAAGAGAGGATATGAGGAGGAGGGACAGAAAGGCTATTAGAAAGGGGCATGGGTGCCAAGGAAAAGAGGCAAATGGAGCGTTTAGATCAATACGAACAAATGGATGTAGGCTTTAGGAAACAATCTCCTGGAAGTTGTCACAAACTTTGCCACAAACCGATCGTATTCCTCGCCTCTGACACGCGGCTGTCGAAGGCCCAGGTACAACTCATCGTCGAGTAAATCTTTGTTCTGCCATCAACTTAGCCCGGTACTTATGAGCTGCTATGATGACCATACATCTGTGCCGCAATCTAGAACTACGGGCAGCTGTCGAGAAGGGTGGATTCCAGCACATAATGTTGCGAGGACCAGCTTGGCAACAGAGATCAATATGGATCCGACACCTTGGTCTCCGATGCCCAGTATCTGCAATTGAAAGCGTGAGAGCTGCTCTTGGGATCTAAGAGAAGAATGTTCCTTACTTCCTCACCATCACTAACGACGATGTAATCAACATCTATGCCGCGACCAAAATTGCAAAGACATTCTTCAATTCTATCCTGGTCTTTTATATTCAAGAAGCAGCCCTCTGGCCTTCTAAATAAACGCGAGTAATTCTGAATTGCATCACCCTCTGTGGGTGTGTATATCACACTAAACATCTCTTTCAGATGGGTTTGTATCAACTGTGACAGAGAGTTAATCTAACCATTCAGGCTTTCATGGAAGCTGATGACACATTAACGTACTTTATAGTATAGAACTTCATTCTGTGCCTTCATGCTTGCCATGAAAGTATTTTTCGCCAAAGAATCGGGACGGCTCTTGTATTGTTGAAATGCCCGCTGGACTTGCTCTTCCAAAGTTTGGATGTTAGGAGGTAATAGACCATGCAGCTTGAAAACCCTCCGCTCTTCTTCACTGAATGCAGAGCCTTTATTAAACTGGCATGACGCCATGACATCCCTACCCTGTGATTTCAGTACATCAGCCATCCTCTGCGTTGGGAACTCAATTCATTGACAATAGGAATTACCTCATATGGACACTCTAGCGGCCCAAAAGCTGCACGTGGGTGATGGCTAAACCTGGACAGATGCTTCGACATGGGCATGTTCAATAGTCAGATAACTGTGAACAGTTACTATATAACAAGGCAATTGCAGTGTTGCACCGAGTGATATATTGTCACCAACGGCCAGGATTAGGAATATATGCTTTCATATATAAGCTGAAACAGCTCTTGCGATAGCAGGAAATCATGGATGGATTGGTGGGGAGTGCGTGCCGATGACGTAGAGGACCACTCAAGCCGAAGTTGCTCATACTACTAGTAGTAGTATGTAGTACTGTTACAAGCGACACCGGTATCTTCTAAGAAATAATAACGGAGAATCTATCTAGTTATCCTGAACTATCTAGGGGCCGTCTTCTGCTTACACATATATCCTAGCTACCTGCTTTTTTCTTATTTCTGTGTCTGCTGGATCATGCCATTGTGGGCAGCTTACCTAAAGTGGTATTCTGGTGAATACTAGGGCAGCCATACTCAACATCTCCTGCACTAGAATTTTGTTACCGGTAATCCCACTTGAGGAGGCAAGCATCAAACAGGGATATAATAGCTCCACTGTAGGTTTTCGACCAAGTACGTAAGTCGTAGGAGGTCTTGGGTCAAGTATATAGTGCAACAACGCGATTTTGCTGTTCTGATAGCAGACCCTCGTCAATATTTGCGTACTGTCTTTCCAGATGTACTAAGAATTAGGACAATATCGACAGTAGCAGGTTTATGAGCATGCTACTTATGACTCTTACAGAGTTATCGAGATAGAACAACACTACAGTGTTATCGACCAAAATATCACGTGGCGATAATACACAACACAGGTGGTGATCCTGATGACTAAGCTCTAACCGAGGAGCTAACTAAGTTAGTGGAGAGACCGGCAAACAAAATCAGAGTCCCAACAAAATCTTCACATCACACACCACCATTCGCATGCAAGTCGATGTCCAGCTTTAATGTTGATCTGGAAGGCGGCCAAGAAATTTCAATCCTGCAAATCAAGGTCCTCAATGTATCCAAACCATTACACGAACACCGCCACGAGCCAGTGTTCATGCAATACGCTTTCCCATCACTTCTTTACTAACACTGTCGTACCATACGGAGTATATTGCAACTACACAATCCAGCTGCCTCAAGTCTATGCGGTCTATGAATCCGTTTGGACAAGTTGATTGCTAGACTATTATCACGGGCCCTTCATTGAAGGACGGTCTTCACATGCCATGTCTTGTGGCTGTGCTTCCGACTGGAGCTGGGTTGTAAGGATCCATCTCGAGTTCCTATTTTCAGTTGCTAGAGAAAAGCACAGGGCCTTCATAGTTCATGTTGCTCGCGTTCTATTTCATACGAGAGCATGACTCCTTGCGCACCTACAGTATACACTTAAGAATAATATATCTGGATGTACATCAACTGCTTAACATGGAAAATTTCTATACTACACGCAAATAGTAGTAGCTGTTCATCCTTACAACTTACTCCTTGCTTCATCAATAACCTTAACAACCACTTTACCCCAGGTTTCCCTTCCTCCAAGCGCTTGCAATGCCCTGGGTACACTCTCTAGCCCTACAAAACTTTCATCCTTAAAAGCTGTCCCCTTAAATTTGCCTTGAGCCACGAGGTCAAAGATCCCATTCCAAACAGTGCCGACGGTGCCCTTCTCAAACTTGGCATACTGCCCCCAGTGCAGCCCCACAATGCTCACATTTTTCAGAAGCACCCGATTCAGCGCGACTTTCTCGATCTTGCCCGCTGCGAACCCAATAACTAGTAGGCGTGCATTCCATGCGACACATTTCAAACTGGCATCGATCATGCCCACAGGATCATAAACAATGTCCACACCTGCCTTCCCATTGCCAGTTCGATGTTGCGCACACAGCTTCTTCACTTCTTCAGGCCAGCCCGCATTTCGATAGTCGATGACATGGTCAGCCCCGAACTCTCGTGCGATCTGCCTTTTGCGTTCTGTGCCAGCAGTTGCTATTACCGTCGCGCCTTTACCCTTCGCAATCTGCACAGCAGCTAATCCGACCCCACCGGCAGCAGCATGGACGAGGACCCAATCCCCTGGCTGCACGTTTGCTCGGTGCACTAAACCGCCGTACGAGGTAGGTGCAGTGACGAAGAGTCCAGCTGCGTCATCAAAACTCCACCCATCCGGGACAGGGAGTAGAGTATGCTCAGGGGCGAGGATGTGGGTAGCGTAGGCCCCCTGTGTGGCGCCGAAGACACGATCGCCGACTTTGAAGCGCGCTTGCAAGGCGGATTTGGACGTTGGCACGGCTAGAACAGTTCCGGCAAACTCGGCACCTCCGATCCACGGGAGTGGAGGTTGGTGTTGGTATTTTCCTTGTATCTGAAGGAGATCGAAGAAGTTGGTACCCGCTGAGTGAATCTCAATTAGGTAGTCATTGGGGGATGGGGCTGGGGTAGGAAGTGTAGTGATTTGTAGATCCAGAGGCCCCTTTTCAAACTTGATCAGTAACGAATCCATGACCAAAGATTACCTGGTAGATATCCGTTCGCTTACCTTGACATATTCTTTGACCTGAATAGCACGCATATTGATGGATGATTGGAAACAATGCAATGACGATGATATACGTTAGGTTAAGGTCGTGAGAGGGATGGGAATGGCAGCGAGTGGCTTTAATTAGAAAATTAGCAGTGAGTTTAGATGGAATTCTAGGAATATAACGAAGTTTGTTCTGTAGCAGGGAATAAGTTTACAGAGGAGCGCTAAAAGTTGAGTAGCTGTCCCCGCGTTCTGGGATGTGCCGAGGTCCATTGTCGGATAAGATGATTTGACCTCCTTGAACGGTGTAAATGATTACCTCATACTCCTCCTCACTAGCCCTTCTACAGGTGTGCAAATGAACCTTCGTGTTAACCAATGAAGGACGTACATGCGTCTGAAGCAGATACAAATATTGAAGCTCCAAGATATAACATTGATGAACCCGAATCCCAATGCCCGGATTCCGAATTAGCGAACAGTAATAGTTTCGAATGGCTAAATGTACAGGTATGCAACTGGACACCTTAACTCCTTCTTTGCTCATGGATATCAAATAATACTCCCCTGATCCTGTAGGACCTGCCGTTGCGCCAAGGATCTCATGGCCTGCTGAGATCATGTAGCTTCATTATTCAGCATACCACCGCCGTAAACGAAAATTCCACCATTTTCCTCTCCAAATTCCATATACGCATAGACAAACCAAGACCACCAAAAGAAGGGAAGGGGGTGGGGGGATGGGTAAAATGGAGAAAAAGGAAAATTTCATGCATGGTAACACATTACTCAAGAAGTCTTGGAATAGCACTGTGAATACCTATATATTTTTATGAATGCAGAAACGGAAGCAGACCGACAATCAATGCCGAGAGAGGTATATAGATATAAAGTGTTTTGGTCAATAGGGAAATGTCGGCGCACACATCACAGGATGTCCGCTGGGGAAATTGGGGGACTGAGTTACTGGTCCAACCGGAGAGTGGTTGGATAACTTGGTAGGGAATGACATCTTCTCTTGCTGCCCTCCCTTTTGGTTGGCCCTTGAGTGACCGCCAGCGGTACCGGGGCTATAGGGAATAGGCATACTGCGGAAAGATGGCTTCCTCGCGTCATGTAGGTCAAACACCTGCTCATGCGAGAACGAGCACCCTGGGGAAGGGGGTGAGTATAGCCGATGAGGAGGGTGTGGAGATACCATCTGCATTGCTGGATCGATGGGGGGGCTCAGAGGTGGGGCTGTGTAATATGGGATTGATGAAGGGTGAGCACCAGCCTCTAAATGTATCGGATACCACTGAGGCACAACCCAACTGATGGGTGCTGTCTCTGCAGTTGTCGGAGTTGTCATGCATGAGGCTGTTGTCACCGCATAATGAGAGTTTTGGAACGAGCCCATCGAGGACGCCGAGTCAAGTATAACGCCATCTATTAGAGGCGAGGTATGGGATGATGGTTCGAAGGAGTTAGAGTTAGAAATAACTACCACAGAAGAATCCCTGTCATGAGCCCAGGCGTTGGAAGCATTCTGGTTGTTGAAGGATCCTGTGGTAGGGAAATCATGATGCGTATATGATCCATCGCCCATGTAGAAGTCTGGTTCGGAAGAGGATAATACTGTATCTGGTTTCTGTGTCGAGCACAACTGGGTCTTAGGAGAAATTGGAGTCTCGTCCTTTGGTGACCCTGCCTCGTGACTACTGCTATCTCCATTGACATCCGGTTGGTCATCCTGAGACTTTTTCCGAGTCTGCCGAGAGGGTTTGGTAACACGCCATTTCTTTAATCTACTCCGCAATTGAGTCTCACTGGTGACGATTGCCATAGAATTAGATCAACCGTACACAAGAACAGTTGTTTAGAATGACTCACCTTGGGTTAAAGTCATCAGATCGGATTTGTTTAATGACTTGCTTGAGAGGCCACTCTTCGTCCTTGTATAGCTTGGCGATCAAGGCTTTCTTCCTCTCCCATACGTCTGATGGGATTGTGTTCTTCATCTCCAATGCTCGTTTTAGCCTATTTGCGGGTTGGCTAGTTGGTTGAAAGAGCGTACAGAGAATGGATTGGGGTGGAAGGGTGATGCAAAAGTCAATAGGTTGTATAGTCAATGTAGGAAGTACGTGAGGACTCCGAGCTAGAAGCAATGATAGGAAGAAAAGCGAAAATACTGTATATGAAGAGGAAACTGTTATACTCTAATGGAGGAGATCGGGGGATCTAAGGTATTAAGTACAGGACAACAAGTGTATCACTGGTAGATCCTAGTGGGTGAGTTACCAGTAGGAACCACCACAAGTGCATGCACCACTCCAACCAGCAGCACGCCATGAGGAGAAGTGGATAAAGCGAGGTACTCCGTATGAGATTGAGAAGCTCGTGCCCATTGAGCAGTTCATTCGGGGAGAAGGGAGATCTACCCAGCATGACAATGCCCAGGGAACAACACCACCCACAAGTGGACCACTTTCTTTAGTCTGGTGGGGCTTGCAGTTCGGTCACTCGGGTTTTTACTAGTAGTTGCTGGGGATGGTACTTCCAGTGCCTCGGGTCCTGTCATTCAGTCTTTCAGTAATCTATTCGTCCTTCGTATCGTTGATAAGTTCTTGACCAGGAGTGCCGAATCAGCTTGACTCATTTAAATTACTTGAGTAATTGCCATGCTCCTGGGTTCCAAAGTAAGCTTTTTCTGTCGATCATTTTGGGAAGTATTCCGGGTTGGAGGACGGAGTAACCATGTTCAACTTCTGCTGCTAACCACTGCACATCCACCCCAACACTTGCCTATGCGTGTATCTACGTTGTATGTCCTAGGACAGACGCTGTGTAATTACCAAAAAAAAAAAAAATAAATAAATAAAACAAGGATATCACAACGGTAAACACATTATCCACTTTCCAGTAGGCCACTTCTTTTTTTCTTGGGAATGAGTCAATAGGGATGTTATATTTGATCGATGTGTCAATTACCTTTTTCATTGTGGTATCGCCCCATCTCTTCGAAAAGCATCTAAATGTCTCATTGGACTGCGTAATCCATTCCCGTCAATAGTTCCATCCGACAGGATGTAGGTATACCTAGGTACCTAGTAGTACCCCCCAGAACAGTCAATAAATTCTTACCCCCTGTTCACATTATGATGGTTCCTTCTTTTGGTTCCTCCTCCTTTGGACTTTATTTTTATTTTATTATTATTCCTTCTTTTTTTTTTTACCAATTCCAAAAAACCAAACAAGTCCAAAAATACATACTATGTACATGAGGGCAGAAGAGTACTCCACCGAGACAGGAGAATGTACGGGAGTAGAAATTCAAATTAAAAACCTCGCTGGCTAGGCTCATGGAACGATCCTCGCAGGCTAACCAGATCCAGTCTACTCCGGTTAAGCCTCTAGTACGGAGTACGGAGTAAGGGGTGATCCCTCCATCTTGTGTTCACAGTGGGGAGGCTAAGCCCAACCAAACGCTTGGCGCAGTCATGGAGCTGCCTATTCAGGAATAGGTGCGTATCCTCCAGATTGGTTGGTGATAGATGTTAGTGCTGGTAGTACTAGTAGTACCTACCAAGTAAACCTTTCCAGTGGATGCCGGAATACATGGAACAGTTGCAGCACGTGGGTACCGTATTAGTGTGTATTCATCTAAAGCCTATCCAGTAAGGTTAAATACAGACGACAGTACCTCCTTTAGTAGTTTGCTCGTGCGGACTATGGCGTAAAGACGAACAAAGTCAATCTACATGCCTGTGTCGCGGCATATGTTCCACGCTCTTCCGTACTCATGTTCTGGTAGCTGTTCCTCCTAAGGGCCCATTGTTCATGACCTGCCAATGAAACCCTTCATAATTATGACACTGGCTATGGCTACCAACACTTGGCGATTGACCGCTCAACCATACATTATCCTTCCATGGGTGATACTTGGAGAAGGTCATCGATGGAATGGTTCTGGATGGAGCTTCTGCGGAGAAGACGTTCTTAACTCCTCACTTTAGTTCTACCAAAACCATGTGGCTTGACTGTCTGATCATCCCTGCATTAGGCTGCTTCAATAACAACGGCAGTATCTGAGCGAGAAGAGAAACCGTTGCGAGGCATGACTGCTGATAAATTCCAAGGGATATACAGACTACATGCAAATGATAATCCTTTAATATCCTCTACCAATATGGTTGACCGTAGATACCAGTAAATACTAGTTTTATCATCGTCATTGTCTTAAATTCGGTTGGGTTGAGGCTCGAATTAATGGAATATACAATTCATTCATTCATTCATTCTCTCTCTCTTATTTTTACCGATGCTGCCCCGTAAAAGATCAAGTGACCAATTCCCGGCGGCTGATCGGAAGACAAACCAAGGAACCGTAGCGCGCAAATTAACTCTGCGCGCACCGTTGAAAACTGACCATTACCTCACTACAATGTGGACAACTTATTTTGTACAGGAAAAAAAAAAAGTTTACGTTAGGAAAATCGGCGGTTTACTTCCGATAAAAGTTCACAACATAATGCACTGTCAACATATCGGCGACCGAAGAAGAAAGTGGAAACAAAGACAAAGAAAAAAGGAAAATGCAAACATACAGAATGGATTGATTTCATCCACCAAACCTACGCACTATCGATGATGCTGGCAGGAAGCGAAAGGGAATAGTGCCGTGACTAGGCTATCTAGCTCCTGACAGAAGTGGGGACTCCGGAGAGGGATGGGCTGCGATAGAGACTCAAAGTTCACAGCCTGCAGAGTGCCAAAGTGGACAGCACGCGGGCAGGACGCACCTAGACTTACCCCCCCAAGGCTCATTATAAGGGGAAAAAAACATACATGCCCAGCCGCTTGTCTGAAGTGGAGTCGTGCGAACCCCCTAGCAATGCCTAATCGATCTGGAGGATTGTAGAGGGGTCAGTAATGACGATCAATCTCTCGTCTGATCTTCCCCAAGGTCCTCAGTAGTACTCGCTGCAGGATTCATCCGAGTCGGCTGCCTAAGTGGGAACGGCCCCAGTCAGTCAATATGATTTGATAGAGCCCTTCTAGCCTTTCCCACGTTGCAGTATCTCAAAACATGATCTGCAACAAAGTGACTGATTGCCTCGGCCTAATATTACAGCATCAAGGCCTTTTCGTCTTCAGCTTGACGTAGTCTCAGTTATTGTTCGTGAAACACGGAGAGATGTTGCGAGGTCTCATCTGATGCAGGGGAAATTGAATCACTCGCTATACTGTAGTAGACCAACTTAGCATTTCAGTTACCGAGCTAACATCGCCAGTATTACATCATATCCATTGACCACACTACAAGTCATAGCAGTGCTAGCAGACTTGGGGAGGACAAGTCATACAGGCGTACTAGTAGCACACTTATCACCCCCATCATCAGGCGGATGATCCTCGCACATCTGTGCCGTGGCTGACTGGATTAGATTGGCACTTTAGAGTGTCCTATGCCGCAAGATTGGCGGATATAGAAGAAACAATATCCTTTACACTAAGTCGGGTGCTTCCTCTGATATGTAATTACTGAGACCCGGATGATTGGCTCGGGAAACTAGCCGAATAAGCCATGCTTTGACACTACCTAGGTACTAAGGTAGCCTGAGACGATGCACAGATCTCCTTGCTACTATTGTACTACGTACTGTACATCCTCCGCTGATTTACTTGGTATGGCTTTGGTTGACTATGACGTCCCTTTTGCATGGGGTTGGAGAAAAACCATAATTATTTTCATTGTTACCTGATATGTTAGCTTCATTTCTTTCTCTTTATCAGGTGAACGATATCAGAGGAACAGTAAACGTACTGCGCTGTACTCCGCACATCAACAGGGATACATATATGTATATGTGTATATACAGTAATATACAGACCGACACTCTGTAAGGTAAATCCATCAACTTTATCAGGACAATTGTAAATCCAGGATGAATTGATTAAACCAATCATCTTTTTTTTTTTTTTTTTTTTTTTTT